ACTTTGCTTCATTTGCCAGTTGATTGGAAATATTGAGGCATTGTTTGGCAACGCTATCTTCTGGGAGAGAGACAAGATGTAGCCAAAATTTAATAATTTTTGGAAGAATATTAAATTTTAATGACAACCGTCCTGTTTCGTTTCGAGCGGCAATATTTGGTGCTCTTCTGTTGAGGCCGAGGTAATATTTTGTAAAACTGTGTATGAAGTCTTTCCACAGGGTCTTTTTCCCATTTTTTGAGGTTTATGCTATCGTATGCTCCCCAGATTTCGGATCCGTATAAAAGTATAGGTTGAAATAGAGTATCAAATAGTTTATTACACATATTGATAGGAAGTTTATTGAAATCAAGATAACGTTTGGATGCGAAAATGGATCTTCTAGCCTTCTCAACTAAAGCCTTTTTAGAATTTGAGAAGCTTCCATGCTGATATTGTCATCTAATAAACTGCTTTTTGCTTTGTGTCTGTTTCTGACCGCTAAGAATGAATTCTTCGATGACAAAATCTTGGCTAAGAAGATGACAGCGTTCTTTAATTGAGAAAAAGGCCAAATGCTTCCGAACGCTTTTGGGATTTTAAAAAAACATTATCATTTCTCGGGATAATCATATTAACTGTACAGTTTAATGGTCATTTAAGAATCTGTATCGCGAGGTATTCAACGTTTTTTTTAGTATGTAGTTTATGATATTACAAAATACCTCCATATTTTACGGATACTTCTATGTTACGGACAGTTCACTTTGTCCCAGAAAGGCCATAAAATATTACATGGACGTGATACGCACGATTCTATTGAGGGATTCTCTCGAATCGACCACGTACTTACGTATGCAACGGCCTTCCTGCAAAACACGATACTAAAACCAAACTTGACACGAACGATTGAGTGAAGAGCTTTTTAAGATTTCGACGCCTTGTCACGGAGGGATTATATTATTCCTGATTGTTTGCCTCAGAACAGTTGATATGAACCTGGCTTATTGATTCCGCTATCAAGAGAAGACGTGATTTTAGTTTTAACCCAGTGTTCATGCCATGTTAAAAAGATTTCGTGGATTTCTGTAAAAAACATAGGTATTAAAGACAGCTTCATTAGTCGGCGGCTAAGAACTCGAGAGATGTTATCCATCAAGGCACTCCAAACCATCAAATCTAAAACATGGGTTATTAGAAAAAGAGCATGTGTCTGGATTTTAAAAGAGCTTTCGTTCAGCGCTACTGCGGTTTAAATCAATTAATCAACACCATTCCTTCGATACTAGAGCAGACACTGACGTCATAATGATTTCCGCTCCGCGAGCCGATTGAGGTAATTAGATTACACCTTCGTAACACGCACAAACCTTGTCTTTTTGTTTACAAAAGCTATATTTACTTTTCATATTATTCTATTTCAACTGTCTTTCCCGAGCATTCAAGTAAGCCATTTGACTGTCGCATTTTAGTGGCTTCTTTAGAAGCCATTTAAAAGCGGCATTCGTTTCTGCGCGGGGGAAATATAAAGAACATCTGCCCGTCAATTTAATTGTATTGTTTCACGACGCTTTTCGGCAAAACAGGAAAAATTAAGCCTTTTAAAGCACTCCAGGCCGGATCCAACACTAATTTGAAGTTCAGTGCTAAAGTGTCTAAAAGCGAAATCATTTTACAAGTACCTGGCACGCCCTTACGACACCGTATTCGGCAATACAAAGTGGAATATGAAATCTTTTACAGCTAACATACCTTATTTAGCTTCACTTTTTACAAAAATACAAATGTTCTCTTTCCACTTCCCTAGTTATTTTTTATCATTATTATTTTTCAATGTCCTCTCAGCTGCGTACAAGACTTTGATATTTACCAAATTTACAGCGGCAATAATACCACGCCCTATACAATTTATCATATTTATATATACAAGTTTTTTTTCGTCACATGTAGGTGAAGTAAAAGGAGTCTCAGTGTAACAGATCGTAACAGAAAATGATTTTACGCTTGACAAAACAACAGGACGATGCTTTCAAAGTTGCAACTGCTCACTTTCCAAAACTTAGAATAGCTTTGTCGCTGTTTTGTCGGCTTTTATCGGGGACATTCCACATGCGTGATATAGAGTTTGTCAAAACAAATCTAAGTAATAATAACAAAAGAAGAAAGATTCCTTGGGGAACAACAATATTTACTTCCTTTCCTAAACTGAATGTCAAATATACTCAATACAAGCAACAACGACAAAAACGATTTCCGACAGTTTTGAAAAAATATATTTCGTTCTGTCTGCTTGCGGGCAAAATTCATGATTTCGTGCAGAAAAATCAATCCTTTTTTTTTATCAACTTTTTTTTTTGCCTGGTCACGTTCAAAAAAATCACGCCAACCTCTTGACCTGATATCCCTCGGGTCTGTCAACGACAGAGGTTTCAATTGCAAAATTGTTCACGAAAGCTAAAACGCAAGCTGAAAAGCAGACGTGGTGTTGAGCACATATAGTGAACGGGCTTCTAAACGTCTTCTGCAATGACAGATTTCAAATTGGTTACCGTATTTTTCGATAGCTTAAATGAACAACAACATTAAGTACTTTGGACGGTTTCCAGAAACGTTTGGAAGCTGATTCCATCCCCACTTGATTGCATGATATGATTATTAAGTAATCTCCAGTCTTATATATTAATCACGTTAACGAGAAAAGGAAAAAACGGAAGTTTACGACCTAGGCTGAAAGTCGATGAGAGATTTCTTTTCAGTTCCGAAAGCTAAAGAAATAAAAATCAGTTAACCCGGAAACGTTCTAAAATTCTAATTGAGAAAATTTGGCAGCACCACAGGAAAGGACTGCTCTGTAGCTTTAATTTGGTCATACGAGTACACGAGGATTTCCTACGCAGATTCAGACCTGTGTTGTTTACTGGATTTAGAAAGCAGCACGTAGTACCATGTGAAAAAGGTCAAAAGCTGTTATTTGAATGGACGTACACTAGGGTATTGTCCACTGACCTAAAAGTTAGAACTACCTTGTACGGTGGAGCCGCGCCTTACGACCACCCCGTTAATACGGTCACCTCGTTATCACGGCAACTTTATTCTGGCCTGAATAAACGCTCAGCCAGTCGTTTTCTTATTTAAATAACCCCTTTACTACGGCCACCCCGTTAATATGGCCAGATTTTTGTGGCCCGTTGGTGACCGGATTAACGGGGTTCAACTGTGCATCGTAATAAACAGTACCGCTTAAAAATGCTGCCCAACCAGTGGCGGATACAGACCTTGAGCTAAGAGGGTGGAGGAGGGNGCTTTTTTTGCTTGCCCTGCTGGCTTTTCTCCCTTCTGCGTTTTTTTTTTTACCCAGAATAAGGGGAGCAGATCCCCGGGCCCCTCCCCTAGATCCGCCACTGCCAACAGCTTCTATTTGAATGGTCGCATCCTACGGTTTCGTCCATAAACTTTTACATATAAGTTAGAACCACCTTGTACAGCGTTGTACACGGAACGTGACGAACGTTTTATTTTTATATTTCATATGAATGACGGTCACATTCTCGACCGAAGGATTGACATCACGTGGAAGGGTTAATTCAGTTACGTGATAGGACGTCGAATATTTGATCAATAAAGAAGTTACTATTCCATTGTTATTATTCCAAGTTTCAAATGGCATACGAATGAACAATTTTTAGATGGATAAAAGAACAATTCTCTTAGAAATATCACGTGGTCTGTAGTGGGAAAACAAAACGCCCAAGCTAAAAAGGTCTATACGATGCTGCTTCAATAAGAAGGGGGACCAAAAACCCTCCAGGGCACCTTCCAATGTTCATCCACGGCGAAACCTTTTTCGTGCGAAATTGCAACTCTTAGAATTGATCCACAATATTGTAGCTGCCGGGTATCACTTAGAAGTAGGGCGCCAAGGGGGAGTAACATGTGATGAATAACCGTCCCATCCAAGGCGGGTGGGGGCTGGGGATAAGTCAGTCACCAATCATATCATCGCCAATCATTTGTTATTGTTATTGTTAATCATACCACATTCTTTTCGCTTTGTTTTGCAGCAAAGTACCACAACGGTCGCCTGTGGCAAGTGGATATGAAGATCCCAAGAAGAAATGTAGGAGTGCCAGGAGTTGGACAGTCTGCTCCCATTCGAGACAGAAATAGTCTTTGGCCAGGAGGAATTATACCGTACACCGTCGCGTACAGTATTCGTAAGTTAGTCTCGTCATAGTTAATAGAGGGAAATGGCTAGGAAGGCCGTTAAACACCAAAAGAGCAAACAAACATGTTATTACTTATGTTGGAAAGCGCTGACCCTGCACATCTTTTGCTTTATGTTCATTGACTATGCATGAATTACATAATCGGAATGCTTCCATTGGTTAGTTCTTTGAGCAGACGTAACCACCTTTTGTAATTTGCAAGGTTTTGTGTAGGGTCAACCTCCAAAGTAGCAAACAAAAACATACAACAAAGAACTTTGCGAAGTTTCCTGACCATTTCCCTCAATTAATTGTGGTCTTGCTTGCGTTTAAAGCACGCAGGCAGCACTGAACTCATTCCTGAATATTGCTCATTTATTTAGGATTTTAGTTATCAACTATCAATTGTGGTGACAAGCAAAAAGGTCATATTTGTATTCTCGTTATTGGACTGAAACTAGCTTGCAATGGAGGCTCATGCGGGGAATATCATTAGTTTAAAGAAGATCAATGTCATTTGCATTGGAAAAGTGTGCACTGAACATATACAATCGATCGTTTAAATCTCTTGTTATTCCAGCTAATATCAGGGAAAATTTTGGTTGAGACACACCCCAAAACAAACCTTTTAAGCACTCCTCTCTCACTTTGCAAGTTGTAACCACGTGACAGCGTCGATATAGCGTGTTTCAACATTGATTCTGGGGAAGCGCGTTGGCTAGCGACGAAACAGATGCTTTCATCAAGGGAAGTACGGTTCTTCGCTAGAAAGCATTCAATTTGCTAAAATGTCAAATACTTAGTCTGGAATTATAGGTCAAAAGATTTGTGGCCGACGGTAGCAAAAAGAGTTGTGTTTTATATATCTCGCACAACTGCTAAGTAGCTGGTGGTTCGTCTCCCGTAACACTGACAAAATAAAAGAAGAACAGTAGCAGAAACGACTTCGATTATTCTCTCATTTAGGCTGATCTGAGGGCCGATCTTGATTTTAATATCTTGTTTTTCCATTTTGCATTTCAGCTGAAAGCAGCAAAATTCGTGGGCTGCTAAAGGATGCGATCGCAGAATGGGAGAAACACACTTGTATTAAATTTGTAGAAAGAGTAAATCAATCAGATTATGTGGAGTTTTATTACGGCGAAGGGTGAGTAAAATTTATTGAACACTAAGTAACTTCATGCGTGATACAGAAGCTTGCAATTGTATATATGAAACTTGAGCACTTGAAAGCATAGAACCGTTTTCACGTGAGTGGCGAAAGTAGTTCACATTTAATCTTGTTTTGCACTATTGCATGGAGCGATTGGCTGAAAAAACTCGCGCCACTTGGACATCTAATCAGAAGTAAAATCAAAACAAATCATGACTCACTCACACGTTATCCCGCGCTCCGAGCTAACTGCATGTATTTGCTTGGAATTTTGCTTTGTTCCCTGTATGATCTGTGTTCTTTGTGATTTTTGGCCAGAGTCGTCACTTTGACTTTGGTTTTACACTCAACTGAGAACCTCTCCAGTACGTACACACGCCAAACCCCTTGGCTTTCTTGCTAGCACATGAAAAGTGCGTTTTCTAGTAAAAACGGCTTGCTCAGGACGTCTTAAGCAGTTCTTCAATCCTGAATTTTCTGCCTGCTCATAACAATATTTTCTTTTAGAGACTCGAAAGAGCTTCATAGATTCCCTACATTGTGGCAGGGAACCACAAAAGCAGAATTCAAACTGGCAGATCACCCGAGATGTTCACGTTAGAAGTATTCAATTGAGTGTCGAAAGTGATCATGTGATTAGTTTGGTTTTATTTTTGGTTTTGGTTTTCCTACAGTTTGAGATTGACCGAGTAGTCTAATTTGTAAGTAACTGGTTTGGTTTTGGTTTTACGACACTCAATTGAAGACCGTTCTACTACGGTTTGAGATTGGCTGAGTAGTCTAATTTGTAAGTAACTGGCTTGGCTTTGGGTTTACGACGCACAAAATCCAATTAAAATAACATTGCCAATAGAAACTGAATAGCGCTCTTGGAAGCTCTGATCGTCAAATCGCTTTATTATGCTTAATTTTTTCAGTTTGTTCTTTTTCCATAAAGGTGTAATTCTGATGTTGGCCGAGCAGGCGGTAGACAGACCACGTCCCTGGGTCGAGGTTGCGCGCATCATGGGATTGTAGTCCATGAACTAGGACATTTGATTGGTTTTTGGCACGAACAAAACAGACCTGACCGTGATGACTACATTACGATCAAAGAGGAAAACATTATACCTAGTAAGTTTAAAGTCGAAAAACATGTATTTAGTATATTTCAAAACGGTCTATTGAACACGATAGACCGTAGAGATAAAATGTCGAATTTTGATCATTGAATCACCTAATCAACTATTCAATCAATCAATCGATCAATCAATCAATCAATCAACCGATCAATCCATTTGGTTTAGCAAAGTGTACACTTAACAGTCTTCTTAATTGACAAGCTTGTTATTGTTGGTTTTCGTGGAGGGAGGAAATCCTATACCAAGGGAAAAACCCTGACGGTAAGTCGAGAACAAAAGACAAACCCAACCAAAACATGATTCTCGGGCTATGCTGGGCTATGCTGGTGAAGCGGTGAAAAAGGGAGGCAAGCGCCCTCTGTGCTCTTTAATGTTCTATTAAATTTTGCTCGTCCGTTGTTTTGGATACTTTTCCTGTCTCTTTTGACTCTCTAGACTGCAAAGCGCTGCATCCCAAACATAATCTGCAACAAGAATAGGAATTACTTGTGGGACCGCAGGGACATTAAAAATTTCGTCGTTTTGTGGTCCCACTCAACTTGTTAAATCGATCGGGCATTGATATTTCGTCACAGAGATACAGACTGCAGTCAAGTGTGTCTTTCTAACCTTTTTCCTGTGATTTTCTTCTTTTTTTTTTTTCTTTCCTCAGAGTTCAGGTTTGCGTTTGACAAGTACAGTAATCGAAAGATAGACAGCTTAGGCGTGCAATATGACTACGTGTCTGTCATGCACTACGGCGAAAAAGCTTTCTCTAGGAACGGTCAACCGACTATAGTGGCAAAGCAGCCGACCGTCAGGTCTTTTGGAAACACACATTTGAGTGTTCTGGATATCAAACAGGCCAATCTCCTATACAAGTGTCCAGGTTTGTATGTCTTATCGATTATCGACTGCTACCGCTTTAAACGTAATGAAAATCTGGGGGGACTCCCATAAGAAAAGGTCGGGGATGCTCATCGGAAAATTTGAATAAATCCCTAAATCTGGGCGTGACTCAAGCTTTATTTGACCCTTAAAAAGAAGATACCACTTAGAAAGGATTAGGCTCGGTTACCAGCCGCTGCTCAAGATTGGAACTGGCGCTAGTAGATCGGGCTCGAGGGGCCGACGGAAATCGAGCCTAAAAACGGAAATAAGAGCGTTTTTTAATTATTATTTCTTCGAGTGCACCCTAAAATATACTTTGACAGCTAAATTGTTTCGAATTCTTGATTTTACACCCCTAACCGAGACGACAAGCATCTTATATGGGACCATTTCATATGGGATTCTCCCCAAACCCCCCCCCCCCCCCCCCCCCTCCAAAAAAAAAAAAAAAAAAAAAAATTTAAAGCCGTAAGCATTCTCCAACTATTTCAAACACTTAAACGTAAGGCTCAGCATGTTTGGACTTAGCAACTTCTAAGATCACAACCTTGGGTTGNCTCGCTCTCGCGTATTTCGTATCAGTTTTTTTAGGAGTGAATAGCTGACAAGGCGCAGCCGAGTTTATTTCTGTTCATAGAAAACTAGACCGCATTTCCAAACACCGAAAAGAGATTTGAAAACACGACTCGCAGCGGAGTATATTTGACGAACTCCGAGGTGTTTGGAAATGTGGTCAAACACGGTGTTTGAAACATCTTCTTATCTCGCGTATCATCTTCACATCTTACGTATATATCCGTTAAAATCTATGCAAATTAAGATCAGATACCAAAACACCGTCACGAATAAATTATTAATGAGTTTGAGAAATATTGCTTGCTTGTTATGATATAGTGCCTTTAGGTTCGTTGCACGTACCTTCAATGTTACAAGTATCACCACAGCAGTGAATATCCTTTGCTAAAAGTCTTCCGTTTTTAATCTCTAGATTACCCAGTCTTCCCGCAGGATTTTGTTTGGATGAACAATGGACCCATGAGAAGAAATGTTATTTGTCTTCGCATTTTTCATCCCAAGTCCATTAGCTGGAGAGATAACTATCTCTGTTACCGAAAAGACAGGAAATCTCTCTCACTCAGGTAACAGCAGGCTCAGTTTTGAGTTTGTTTCCTATTGAATCAAACCTTATTATACGTATTAGGGGTTTATGACTTCAGATACCTTCCAAAGTCAAACCTCTGGTCCCAGGTAGCCTCCACATGGAACACGATCTAGCATGTGACCATTCAAATGAAAGCTATTGAGCAGTATTGTCATGTAGTTGTACGAGGTGATTCTAACTTTAGAGTCTGCAGATGAAAAAGCTGATATGTGACCATTTACATGGAAGCTATTTGACAGAGCTCATGATACAAACCTCTTACTAACCGAGTTCAAGGTCCATACTGCAAGTTACGGACCGAGTTTTTTTAGAAGAACGAGGATCCGTAACTTACAGTACGGACCGAGAAGACGAGGTTAGTAAGATATTTATTATATCTCTACTGTGTGCCTGACAGGTTCGGAAACGATTTCTATTCACGCGGACTCGAAAAGGCTTCAAATTTCTGACGCACCTAGAAAGCAAAACGAGGCAGTTTGAAATTGTTTTTAAGTCGTTAGCACGCTTTATTACGTAATTTAGAGTATAAGATAGTTTTAAACTTTCACTTGCTATGAAAGTTAAGAACACTTCGCGATAAATCACGAAACAGTTTGGCAACAAAACCAACTTTAAATTTTAGCGGGTCGTACATAGAGGATATTACACGGTGGCTCGAAGATATGAATTTTATGTTCTCGTGGCAAGAGCAATATCTCACGAGTGAGCGAAGCTCACTCGTGAGATATTGTTCTTGCCACGAGAACATAAAATTCATATCTTCGAGCCAACGTGTAATGTTCTTTTTATTACATGGAGAAACCAATTCAACAAAAGCAAAAGGCGGGAAAATACGCCACTCGGGTCCCGGATGAAGTGGCGTATGGAATCTACGAGTGGTTTAGTTCCCAGTAAAACACTCTTCTCCATATAATAAAGGAGAGTATGGCGCGCTAAATTGACCAATCACAGCGCGCGTACTAACTGAGAGATATAATAATGTTTATTATGCTGTACAAGTTGATTCTAACTTGAAGTCTGTGAAAGAAAACGTAGCTTGTGACCATTCAAATGAAAGCTATTAAGGTGTCTCTGTACAGTTTTTTGGGACCACACCGAGCGGATCGATGTGACAATTACACAAGTTTGAAGTTTGATGTTATGTAGCTTTTGGGAAAACGATATTTCCATAGAAAGGCTAAAAAATCTTTGAATTTTGTGCGAACCAGTTATGATATAAGAAAGCTTAAACCAATATGTGCAGTTTTGTATTTCTGATTTGGTGTATATCGCAAAAACATTTCAAATCATACTTTTTGCACAATATTTTGATGACATTACTTCAATTAATTATATTGCCAAAATGTGTCTTGAAGTAGCCTGTGGACATTCTCCCGCCCCTATCGCTTCTCTCTCCTAATTCTTCAGTTTCGCGCTCGCCGAATTTTTTTCCGTCCGCGCCGGGAGTCTGTTTGCAGGCTGGTCTTGAAGTTATGTTTGAAAGCGATGATAGGCTTTCTTTTCCGCGATCTTGAAAACGAGACTGTTTCAAAACATAGGTTTCATTGTACTTTTCGAGTAATTTTTAGTTTTCCAGAAAAAGCTGTATCGAGACGCCCTCAGCACTTATCCTAAAATGTCATATTCTTTTAAAAATGTTTCATTATTTTGCAAAATGAGTTTTATTTTTCAATGTTAATCTTGGCAACTGCTGCTGTGTTTTAAGCTTCTGGCATAAAGGACCTATCAGAGGTAAAAAGTGCATACAAATTAACGTTCCAACCAAACCAAGCAGTGAGAGTTGGGAGCGATCTCACCTGTGCTGGCCACATGACGGAATTTACAAATTCAGATGGTTGACACAGAGACCAAGTTATGAACAGAGAGACAGTTGTTTGGAATGGACCGAGCCGCGTGATCCAACGTGGAAAGCCAAGACATATTATCTCTGTGCTACTAAAGTTCAACAAGCAATAGGTATGTGTGGGCGTTACGTGAAAACAGTGCAGAACAGGTGACCATGACAAGAGAAAGCTTACACTCTGATTGGCCAAAAATCTGTGAAACAATGGGCAACATTTCTTGTTCTCCCAAATTTCCACGCGTCTGAGGGGTTGCTAAAGTCTCGAACAATGTAGTGTGGCAATCCTAGTGATGAGAGAGGGTGGCCAGAAACTAACATAATTCTTCTCAATTACAAAGGGACTTTGTAACTTAAATATATTGCTTTTTGTACGGTCAAACACTACACAAGGTTACTGAACAAAGTGTTATCGTTATTATTAGTCTAATGCACGGTCCATATGTGCGGATAATTTTTTCCTTTATCTGCTCTTAGCACGAGCCTCGCAGAATTACTTCAAGGAACTAGCTTACAGAAATAATGAGTTGTCTATTGAACCGCAATTTCGCTTGCTATGAATGTTCAAATTTCTCGATCCGTATGACAACGGTTGTAACATGCACATCGACGAATCAAAGCCCGCAAAATCACTGAGGGATATTATGTGTTGTAACTGACTGCATGAATTAATCTTGTTTCACTTCGTTTGTAGATGGCAACTGGACGAGATGGTATCCCTGGAGTGCCTGTAGCCGGAGGTGTGGTGGAGGAATTCAAGCTCGCTCTCGGTCCTGCACAAATCCTCCACCATCCTTCGGAGGCGCTTACTGTGAAGGCAAGTCTCTGGAACGAAGGCCGTGCAACTCGCACGAATGCGCTGGTAAGTAAGAAGTCAGTACATATCATTAAACTTTCAATTCCATCGTCAAAACCGGCTTTTTTAGCTTGTTGACTGACTGTAAAGCATTTCGTTTGATCTAAATAAAGACGATTTCCCAGATATCAGTAAAGGTAAAAACTGCGGTCGGGCCTAGTGATTTATTAGGCAGGTACCTATCTCCGGTTTCCGTAGCATGAGGTGACTAGGAGTATTTCTGCTCCCCCTTGGATGGGACGCTAGTTTATCGTAATGTTACTCCTAGGATTAAATTCATCGGAATCCATTTATACTTCTGAGTGGAGAGAGGGACTTTGCGAGTAAAGTATCCCAAGGACACAATGCAACGACGAACGTTTGGAAGCCCTGCACCGCGCCTCCACTCCCTGATATGGCCTGAAAGCTTTCTTTTTACCAGAGGCGGTGGTTGGAGATTCTCTTTACTCTCATCTTGTTTCCCTCTCAGAACTGATTTTTATTCTTGCTGCCTTTCTTTTGAGTTACGAATTGGTTCATGCTAAGCGTGCGTTTATTGAGTAAGTTCGAGAGCAAATTTAGCTTCTCAAGTGCTCTCCAAACACCCACCTGCATCGATAGCTCGATAATCATGCCTTTTTGTTATGCTTCGGCGACATATCGGGTGAGTTTGGCCGTGGTTCGTATTTTGGCGAGAGCTGGTCAAGCTAAAGCACCCAATGCGAGACCAAATGAGTCTGACGGATACGTCGCCCAAGCGTACAAAGGTACCATTAGGTATTTGCCGCACCCAAATTCGGCCAAATGACCGTGATATCCTAGCAATATCAGGTCAGTGACATGATAACGCGGGCTATCAGGACAGTACACACTAGACTTCTGATTGGCTAACTGCGAATTTATCAAGAAAATCCCGCTTCACTCCGTTTGCACTATTTGCTTACAGAATGGCCCAGCTTCCCCGAAGACTTCAGCTTCGGCCCCAAAGTCCGGCCAGGTCCAAACGAGATTTGCGCAAGGATATTCGAGAGACTTGATTACTTTGCTTGGAAAAATTACTTATTTTGCACACCGGCCGACAAGAGGCAGTTAGAGTTGCGCTGGTATGACAGAGTGCCGCTAAATCGTGACATGCCATGCACGCTGATCTACGTGCCCAGTGACACACGGAAGAAGGGCTTGTGGGATGACAACCATCTCTGTCTTCCACGAAATTCTGGGTTTCCATACAGGTTAGTTACCTAGGGTGAACTATTTTGCCACCATGTCACGTGTTTGTTTTTTTGGTACACCTGTAAACGAAAGAAGTAAAAAAATAGAAACAATAGGAAATTTGGAAAACAGACGCTATAATCGACAACACAAAGGGACAAAAAAGATAAACTTTTAAGAGACCATATTAACACTGCTTGAAATTGGAACTTGGATGAAAAGTCCCTCCCACTTTACGGTACAATACAGGTGACTTCGCTATGTTTTCGCAGGGTGATTTTACTCTCGGTGTGCCTGTCGAAATCATACATCACAGTACCATTCACTGGGAAAGAGATGTCCTACAAGAAATACTGACGTCATGGCGCCTATATTTGTATTCCTAAACAATAAATTCGCACTCCTGGGAAATGAGTTCTCTTTTAAAGAAAAAGTATATTGTTACTTAGGGGGAGACTCCGTTGCAACGTTCTATTGTCTGAGAATCAAGTCTTCTCCTTACAACTAGTAACGAAGTTATTAACTGCTTGTCTCGATAGGTTCGTGTGGTCATACTCAGGTAGAATTCCAAACTTACCGTGCATGAGATGGTATGCAAAGAATGGAAGGGACGGCTGGGACAAAACGTACTTGTGTGCCACAAATGCTTCAAACCCTACCAGTAAGTCACTAGAGTAAAATAAACAGGCCCTCCAAGCTAGAAATATGAGCATTCGTAATGTACATTACTCAACAGTCGAAATATATGCATTTGATGGGAAAACGGTTCCGTGTATTCTAAAACCGTAAAAGGTGAACGAATTTTTGAAAAAGAAATAGCTTTACGTGCTTCACTCTTGTTTATCTTTTTTGTTTCCGTGCGTTTCTGAGTCAAGAATAATTAACAATTAGACCCGTAGCCCGCAAGGGCTACGGGTCAATAGCCCATGAGGCGAAGCCGAATGGGCTATTGACCCGTGGCCCTTGAGGGCG